TATGTATGTATGTATGTATGTATGTATGTATGTATGTATGTATGTATGTATGTATGTATGTATGTATGTATGGAATAGAATAGAATAGAATAGAATAGAATAGAATAGAAATACTCACCCTTACTTGGCCTACTGGTTTAACAGAGATTTCATTATCCCCTTCAGGTTCCTCTAGTAACGGAGGGCATTTGTGTTTCTTGAACACGTGTCTTTTAACCTCTGAAAGTTTGAAAACATTTAGAATAAAATGCATGTCGATGGTTATGATATGATCAGTGCATACAACMTAGCACACGACGGAGTTTCAATGCACGCAAAAAAATATTTAGGAATTCTCAGAAATTTCTTACTTTCTCGACGCCTCAGTGGCAGTGTTGTTTTTACAGAATCTCGTTTTTGGGGCAACCTGCTGTCACGAAGTGTAACTCGGAGCGCGCGTCGATTCATTTTAAATCCCTTTACCTCCAGATAACATTTACTTTAGCCCTTCASGTACAAAAAATAAAGAAAGAAGAAAAATAAAGCATGTTAAAAAGTGCTGTCTTCCATCTTCCTGTGTGCGGCGCCTAGCAACTCTAAAATTCCAAATCAACGCAAAGGTAAAGCCTACTGTGGCTGCGCCCCATTTGCAGCCCGGCTGACAGAGCCGCTATCCGGATGGGCGGAGTTTGAAGTAAAACACTTTTTTAAATTATTCTAATTATTATTATTTTGCTCCATAGGAATTGCTTGTTTGTAAAAGCACTGTTTTATTGCTGTCAGATTGTTATTTTGTGCCCTGTTATATATTAATAGAAGAAAAATGGAAACTGAAACCAGCTGCTTGAAAACATAATCTGAAATTGGCTCATTAAAAAAAAAGTTTCTACTATTTTGATGCAAAACATGTACAAGACTTTAATGCATGTTTTTAAGGTCAATGTTAAATAGTATGACAAAAATACATTAAAATGTCTAGGAAACTGAGGAAAAGGTAGCTTTAAAAATATTTTTGAAAGACCATTTTAAAACAGGACGTATTACAAATAAAATAATATTGAATAATATTTCTGTATCTTTCAATTTTATTTGGTATTTTTTGGCATCTTTAGAACAGATACATATCAAACTTTCATTGGGGGAAAAACAGACAGGGCACTGGTTTAAAATCATTCCAGAATGTCATTTATTTCACATCCCTTCTCCTATCCCCCACACTCAGTCACCCCAAATTTAATTGCACTCAGTCATTACAAGGATATGGTGCTGATTCCATTTTACATCAGAATAGATAAATAAATAGGTACATTTCTTCCTACTACACATAAAAGAGAGAGAGAAAAAAATCAATCATTCAAACCATTGATTTCTTAAATATGCCTACATCTAGCTGTCCTCATTTATGTACATCCACATTGTTTGATGCTTTGGGACGGTAATCAACTTCAAAAGCCTATACAGTATTTCTTTGTGTAAATTAAATGAACCAAAAAAATGTAGTTTTTGTTTAAAAGTTGGAGTTTGTTCTATATCCTCTCTGTGAAAGGAATTTATTATCAGCTTTGCTGAAATTACATACAGCCCAAAGATCAAAACATTGTGGGCAACTGCATACAGCCTCCATTTTTTTCTTAAAAAAAAAAAAGAAAAGAAATAAATAACAAACAGGGCTTTATTTTCAAGCCAAATGCAAATTGTCCCAGAATAGCAGGGCAAACTGCATGCACTGCCCTGACGCTTGGTTCTGCAATTGTTTTTTTTTTTCTTAACCTGACACATTCTTTGTGCAAAAATATGGAAAAAGAAAGCTGATTGCACCATCTGTAGCGTTTGATGATTGTTCCTCTCGGCTGATCTTTTACTCAGGGAAAATGTCCATGCATGCTGAATATTTGATCACAACCATGAAGTAATGTCTTGCTGCAATGAATGATTTAATAACATAAAAAATGTAGTCTGGCTCGTAATGCCCCCCAAAAAACAAAAAACAAACAAAAGAAAAAAAAACAGTGTAGACAGCAGTCATTTAAAAAGAAGCATTCTAGACCAGTTTAATTTTCTTTCTACTTGGTCTTAGTCTTYAATAGTGCTATTTAATCTAAATTATTGTGCCAGATCAGGGTAGTTCTTCTTACTGGCACGGCTGAGAGTTAGTTCTTGACTGAACGAACGAATCACTGTCCTACAAGGTTCAGATTTCTTCTGGAGCTACACTAAACACAAAGACATCACTTCTGCTGCCATACCACGTTGTTACTTGTGTACATTTGTAATTTGGCTGCTCACTGCAAAGAGGACGAGAGAGAGAAAGAGACAGATGGAAAATAAGAGATGCTTATAATTCAAGTCAGGTTTTTTGCAGCTAGAAAAAATCTGAAGATTTGAAGTACCTTTGGGGAGATTTAAAATGCCTAATTTAAAACAAATCAAACAAAAAATGGTACAAATACAACACTGTTTACATTTACTGTGTCGGTAAGGATACAAATACCTGTAAAAAAAGATTTCTTTTGATGGACAGAGTTGTTCCCCTTAAAAGAATTGACTGGTGATTTTTTRCCCCACTTTAATGGTTTGTCAAAAAATAAAGGGCTGGCTCCTTCATACAATCTTTGCATAATGCAGTGTTACTAAGTTAGGCGTATTCAAGTCTATGCTGCCCTCTGCTGGACAACATTAAAGTGTGCAGCACCATTTTTCTTTCAAGATTCTGATTTGTTTTGTTTAGGACACAAACTTCTTCAATCTAAAATGCAAACAATAATCCTCTTATTATATAATTTTTGTCACAAAATGCCCAATTAAGACAGAGGTATAAATCTTGGCGTGTACTGTAATGCACTTCTTTTTTTTCTTTAATTTGCCTCTTTATAGRCATTTTAAATCTCCCACCGTCGGGACACTTTTGGTTTATGATACCAAGCTTTTTCAGGCTTGTGAGACACATTTTTGTCCCGCTCAAAGCTTTTCTTTTGTGTCAGGATGCTCAAAGGAGGAAAAAAAGAGGTCTGCTGCACATTCACATGCAGATGCTGCTGTAGAGCTCGTCGATCTTCGCCTTGAAGAATTCCTTCAGCTCCGGCCTRTTGGCCTTTAGCGTGGGAGTCAGGAGGCCGTTCTCAATGGAGAACATCTCATTGTGGATGTAGATGTTCTTCACCTTTAAAGGGAGAAAACAATAACACATATCTCATCAGTCTCCTTTGAGGAATTACTAAATAAATATGTWTTTTAGACAGACAAGTGTTTCATTTTCCCACAGTATGACATGAATAAATCTTACAGCTCCCCCCCCCCCACAAAATTAACTTAAAACCTGTTAATTTGATGTCATAGCATTGATGTTTTATTGACTTCAGATATGATGGAAACATATTATGTATTACTAAGATAGAGAACTTCAGTAAGTCATCTGCCTCATTAAGGAGCAAAAGATTTTAGAACAGAAACAGAAAAAAGTGCAAATGCCGTATTTTTCTTTTAATAATGGATTTGCTAAAAATTWGTGATTTTATTTCAGAAAAAACATTTTGTGTTCATTAAAATTTATTTATAATCCTGGCACAGTGAGAAAAAACAGTTGGATTTATAGATGTAACATAAGTCTGATAAAACCTTTGATTTTAATGGAAAAAAACTACAAAATTTGACCATTTGGGTYAAAAATTGTGACTAAATACATCTTTTTACCTGCTCAAAAGATAGAAGGCCACTGGCTTTGCCCAGACGCACCAGATCTTCAAGGATTGCTTTCTTCAATTCCTGTAAAAGAAAAAACAATGTTACTTTCCATTTCCTCCTATAGTTTAGCTTAAAGGCTAATTCTAGTTGCACCTACAGTGTTTTTACATAGGTCCTTGTAGGTGCCCAGGATGCCTTTCTTCTTGGCCCAGTCAGGCATCACTTCAGGGTCAGGGACCACAATCCCTACCAAACAGGACTAATAAAGASGAAATAAGTATTCAGATTGTGGAGAGCCAAACAGTTAAACTGATGTGCTGTACATGTGTGCATGGGTTTACCTGCAGACTGTCTCCATGAACGTAGAGCTGGGCAACAGGTTCGCTCCTAATGTAGATGTTCTCGATCTTCTCAGGGGAGATGTACTCGCCCTGCGCCAGCTTAAAGATGTGCTTTTTCCTGTCAATAATCTTCAGCGTGCCATTCTGCAACAAAACAAAGGTGAGATGAAGTGAGAAATAAGACGAGTTATCAAKATGCTCCAAGTAAAATCAGACTATATTAAAGATTTGCTCAGGTTTTTATGAACCACACCGAAAGCCATTTGCCGATATCTCCAGTGTGGAGCCAGCCGTCTGCATCCAGAGTCTCAGCTGTTCTTTCTGGGTCTTTGAGGTAGCCCTTAAACACGTTTGGCCCTTTCACACAAACCTGAATAAAACGTTTCAGAAAAAAGGCAAAAAAGTTTAGGATTGTGTTTCTGTTTACACCCATAAGAGATGTTTAAAGTTTATAAACATAAACTATATATTTAAATTTGTTATGGTTGAAGTTTCTCTGTCAGAAAAATATTTGCTTACCTCTCCTTCACCCTTAGTTGCAAAGTAGTTTTTCTCAGGAACATCCACCAGTTTGATGAGGTTACATGGCAGTGGAGCTCCAACATGACCTGTAAAAATAAATAAATAAATAAATAAATAAATAAATAAATAAAT